TTCCTGCCGGGAACTAGAAGCAACAAGCAAAAAGACTTACAGGGAAAACGTTCTCTATACTATGAGCACTACCCATGGCATTATGAAAACGGAGTTTGAAAAAGAAAAGGAAAGATGGCAAAGGGTGGATAGTTGATGGCTGGGTTCACAGTACTCATAGGATTTTGTACTCAACATAAAATCCTTTTCTTGGAGTCCATTGGTGGATACAGGAAGTCTTAAGCCTTCAGGTTACACTACCGCCTACAGGAGGATAAGATACTAGTATACAAAAAATTGTAGGCCAGCCCAGGATATCTCCTCCTATCTGCAAGCATGTGACAAGCTGCACACGAAGCAGCGCAGAGCTGTGGCATGCTGGCTTCACGTGCAGTGTGTCATGTAATTTTCTCTTCGGCACGTCAGCTCGCATAGCTGAGCCGCCAAGATGAAAAATTTCATCTTCAGCCAATCTACCAATGTAGTCATTCATCTGACTGCATTCAGCTCACACATTGCATGCGAAGCTTCATGCCTGACAGCTTTGTTGCGCTCTGCACGGCTTCGCATGCAGTGTGTCACGGGCTTTAGTTTTGTAAAGAGCAATACCATGAGCATGATCATAAACACACAGGGGATGGCGGTGTTTGAAGTGCATAGAGAGCCAGATTCAGATCCCATAGAGTCATAGGGGGAACGAACAGGGGTAGCCAAATGGGAGACACACTGAATAAATGTCTTAACCCCTTGCCGTCCGCCCGTTGTAAAAAAACGGACGGATGGCACTAAACCATCTGCACTACGAGTCTCCACTTTTTATTTTATCTGAAACATGGGCCATTCGGATGAACTGTCTGTTTCCAATTCCTGAGACTGCAAGAGAGTCTGTACCTGAGAGGAAATCACTGGGAGGTATTCGGCATCAGGTGCTTCCTCTACCTGGTTCGAATTAGAGGAACATCGCATACAGACCCTGGTGGGTCTCTGCTAAAGGTGAGGTGCATTCCAGAAGATTTCTCTGTTGATGGTCACAGGAGACTAAGTTTATTATCCAATCCATCCAATGTTTTATCTTCTATTTACTTAATGGACTATTGAAGATCCAGGATCATGGAAATTTTTTAAGCATTTATTATTTTCACTGGAGTGCAAGTTACACACATGCGTTTTTCTAGTTGGTATTCTTTGCACATTGCATCACATTGATTCACAGTTAATATTTAGTGCATTTGATTTTTCATTATGGTTATTTTGTAGCAATTACATTTACAGTAAGGTGCATGTTATACACATGCGTTTCTTTTTTGTTTTGCACTTTTTACACATTGTATCACATTACTCCAAGGTCAGTATCTACCATATCTGACACTTTGCGGTCTCATTTGTGAGGATTACAGAATGCGCAGAATGCCCCCAGAAAATAGCACTAGGACTTTTTAAGGGACAAGCATTTTCGTACCACACGGGATGTCACCCTAGTGTGAATAACTCACATTGAATTGTGTGAATCTGTCAGGGCCCGGCCTTGGAATAGTATGGTGGATCACAGCTGCGGTTCCAACTGGGGGTGTAGTGCGGTTGTCAGGCTTAAATCCCCGGCGGCTCTCTCAATCATAAACGGAGAGTAGGGGATTAAGTCATCATGGACCGCTAAATAGTAATCGGTAATAACCTTCGATGTAGTAAAGAATAATAACCCAATCCCTGATGATGGCAATCCTATCTGGAATTGAGGTATAAGCGAATGGTAAAGTCTCTATGACAGATAACAGCAAATCTCCCCTTCATACAGCATAACTGGGTATAGTATTGCAAAAATGAGAGAGGCGATACCCAAAGTCTCCACCAGAGGGCAGCGTGTGTGAGCCAAGATACTTTCAAGATAGAGCTTATAGATACTTGCAGTTTGCTGGTAGGTGCAATCAGATTCCTCCAAGAGAAGTCCAGTGGATGCTGGCTGCTGGGGAGCTGTTTCATCCGTGAGGAGAGGTTTCGAGGCGGCTGGTGAGGTTCCTGTGGGGTGTATGGGCTATGATCCCAATCATCGAACACCCCACAGCATCTTTGGCAAGTTTAAATAGCCCGCGGCCGTGGGCTACTTCCGCGTTCCAGCGTGGAACGCATATACACTTCCGTCAAGGGGGAGGAGGAGAGCAGCGTTCACCGCGGCCGATGCGCCCCAGCCTGGAACGCAGTCGGGAGGAGCCAGGAACCCGAGGGATATTACAGAATGGAGCCTTAAGCCAGCAACTGTGATGCAGGAAGGTAAATCGATCTTGGAGACAGAAGATCCAGACAGCCTGGGATAGCCCACAAAGCGTCTCCCAAGCATCTTACCATGTCAGAGTACCACATCTGCGTCGGCCACACCAGAGATATGAGGATCGTTGGGATACCCTCCATATTGATCCTGCATCAAGGCAAGGATAGAAAATCAGGAGAGGAAAGCATCCATCAACTACTTCCGCTAGAAGATCCTTGTACATGGGGGTAACCTAGTCTAGTTAATTGCTGAACCTGGAGGCCAGGAGGTCAACATCCAGGATTACCCACCTGACTCAGGTCCTGGAACACCTCCAGGTTTAGGGACCACACCCCTATGTCCAGATGCTGTCAGCTGAGGAAGTCTGCCTGCCACGCTTGTCCACACTTGGATGTATATGATGTACAAGGCTGGAACATGAAGTTTTGCTCAGGATAGAATCTGCTCTACCTCTCTTTCCTCGGCAAGACTTCTGGTTTATCCATAATGGTTGATGTGGGCAACTGCTGTGCTGATGTCCAGCTTAATCTGGATCAGAAGGCCCTCTAGCCAGACAGTCCAGTGCTGCCGGGACAACCAAACTGCCTGACGGTCCAGGATATTGATCAGGAGATGAGGTTTCTGTGACCTTCAAGTCCCCTGCACTGACAGGGTGGCCAGGACTCATTACCAGCCCAAAATGCTGGCATCTGACATGGGGATCTGCCAAAGGATGGAAGGGAAGGATTTTCCTGGCTCCAAAGGTGGATTTCTGAGCCACCAACATGGGGACAACCTGGTCCTCTGAGCCAGACAAACCAATTTGTCCAGAGATTGGACTGACTTGTCCCACCATGAAAGAATATTGTATTGTGCCTGTCTAGAATGAAACTGGGCAAATGGCAAAGCCTTGAATGAAGCTGCCACCAGCCTCTGGACTCTCATGCAAAAGTGAGGAGTTGGGGGACTCCTGGACTAAAGAGTATGAATCTGGGAGTTTAAAAATTCTATTCGGGAAGAAAATGGAACGTGTTGCATTAAAACGCAGTGAAAGGCCCCTTTCACACAGGCGGTCTAATCAAGCCCACCTATCAATTTTTAAGGCCGACCCAATCGGATGCCCAATGTTAGGGGGGCCATACACTGTGCGAATTTTGTCCCGTTCCTTGAGAATTCGCACACAATGTGTGCCATTGTCGGCACCCTTTCGGCCGGCATTCCTCAATCAGCTGACCAAATGAACCAGCCGGAAAATTTGTACGAACAGAAAAGGCAGCCAATGAGCTGCCGGGTCTGTTCGGGTATCGACTATACAATGCAAACAGCGGGAATTCCTCGATCGACACACTCATAGTGTTGATGGAGGAATTTGCCCTGTTTTAGCCCGTGGGCTGAGTGAGAAAAATTGAGCAGTGAACAGCCAGCCTTAGTCTATGGGCAGCTGTGTGCAAACAACAGGCCTGCATTTACACTCCATCCAGGTGCAGACAGAAAAAAAACGTATCAGAGATCCATTTCGCTGGACCTCATCGTGCCGGATCGGGGGTAATCTGATGTAAATGGACACATGTTTGCTTACATCCGATTTCCCATAGACTGACATGGGTTCTGCCAGTTTAAGTTCTTTCCTCCATCACAAGGCGGAGGAAAAAAACTGTATGGACATGGATGTCACATCAATGACATCTGCTCCGTACTGCTGTGATCAGGAGGGGATCTGTGCACAGATCCCCTCCTGATCAGCCCATGTGAAAGGGGTCTAATGCAATGGACTACAATGTGTCACAGAGCGCTGCAGCACGAGTGTGGAAAAACTAAACCAAAAAAAAGTACTGTATATGGGCATTGCAATGAAGCCTGTCATCTCAAGTATATTTAAAGGGTTTCTAAACCCTCCGTTTTTTTTCATATATCTACTGCTAGCAAGCAGTAGATATATGCAAAAAGTGTAAAAAAAAATTAAAATGTTTAAACGTACCCGTCTTCGCTGCGCACTCCCGTACGAAAATGCTCAGGCGACCGCAAAGCATCTTGGGGCGGGCGCAGTTCGGATTTTCACCCAGGAGACAAGGAGAGACGCAAGGTGAGTCTATGGACGCGTGCGCCCGCATGTGGGACAGGAAGTGCCAGCAAGGACAGAGGAGTCAGCGCTGGATCGGACAATCGCAGCAGCGCTGGAGAGAAGGCTGAACGGGACAGGAAAGAAGAGGAAGATCGGATTAGGAGACATCATTTAAGGTAAGTGCTTACACTAACATTGGGGGGAAGGAAAAAAATTGACTTTAATGTCACTTTAACACGTCAACATTGAACACAACAGAAGTGATGCAAAAGCAGCCTTAGGAAATTTGCAAGCACTGAATTGCAGAAATACACTGCTGATCCCCTCACGCCCGTGTACCAACCCAACCAATTTATTTCACATATTATTCACGTTGGTCCATTGATAAGAGGACGCTTTTATACATTCGCTGTAATAAAACTCGAATACTCCGTGAATAGTCTATGGCAAGCGCCCCTGCATTCCATACACATTAGCCGCGCACTGCGTATCACACGTCTCTGTTACTGGCAGCCTGACCACATACAACATGGCCGTAGTCTTCACAGCGTTCCCCAGAGAGCAGCCAACGCCTCGAGCGCTCCTTACAGCCAATGGAAAAGAGGCGCTTTTGCCCCGCCCAGCTCGCCGGTTTTTCCAGACCGTATGAGCCATTTTGCACTCAGTTGTTAGTGTGCAAGCGTCTGGATAGTCAGGGAGGGGGGAAGCCTTCGGTTGTGTGAAGCGTTGTTATAATATCAGGATTATTTCTCGAGACACGTTCTTCCCTCGACGTCTGGTTTCTATTTAGATGGCAAGCTTTCCCGATTTTGTAAACGAAAATGAAATAGGTAAGTCCATTCTTGTAGAAGTCATGAAGGTGATCGCTGTGTGGCTTCATCTGGATTGTAACGTGGTGTATTAGTGCAGTGCTGAGGCTTTGACTAGGTGCAGCTCTGTGCTTGTACTGATGTCATTGGAGGAGATGTGCATTGCTTCCCCCATGTGTATTGCTTCCCCCATGTGTACTGCTCCAAGCTGTGGAGATGCACGGATGCTAATGCCAATTCGTCTGTCTCCGCTAAACAATAGCAAATCGCAGCACATGCGCTAAATCCATCTATTGGTGAAGTGATCCATACATGTCCACCATCTGGATCCCAGCCTTGTATGCGTTTTGTCCTCCATGTAGGGTGAAATGCGTATTTGGCAAGGATCCAGGCGGTGGATATGTGTGGCTTATCTTACCAGTAGATGGGTTTAGTGTGTGCTGGATTTGCTGTACATGTCTAATAGCATGTTTTGGTGATCATGTTGTTCAATTTAGCACGTCCACTGCTAGGGGGGAGGGGTGATGTGTCAGAGCTGGTGGGGCTGTCTGCTGGGCTCACTTCAGATCCTCTCTGACCTGTGCCTTTCATAAAATAAGACTGAGGCTCAGTTTGCTAGGCTTTAACACTGGAATAAGGATCTTTATTTGGTCCATGTGACTGTCATTTTGGAATGGGCTGCAAGTAACGTGTCACTTGTAAATAATTAGCTTTTGCTCTTTTAGTGTTGTAAACTGAGCCTTTGATCCCCTCCTGTTTACACTGACACACTGGAGGGAATTCATCAAAACTGGAGCAGTTGCTCATAGTAACCAATCAGCTTTTGTCTTCAGTTTGTTCAGTTAAGGTTTTGAAGATGAAAGAGAGAAGCTGATTGGTTACTACGGGGGACTGCTCCAGTTTTGATTCCCTCCAATGATTCATCTAGTGGCTGTATAATTCCATCCAATGTGACTTCCATCACCCTGAATTGCAGTGATTATTACAGCTAAAACTAGTTGTCATTTGATCACAAAGCGTACACTCCCCTCACACGTGTGTAACGTCATACTGAAGATTTTCTTTTGTCTTTACCATGCCGGCCTGAGTTGGGTTGTCGGCGGTCTGAGCTGCCATTGTATATGTTATGCTTCCCATGTCCACACATTCTGTAGGCTCCCATCCCCCCCTTCTTCTTTTTTTTTTTTTTTTTTTTTTTTTTTGTT